AAAAAAAAAAAAGATAGCTATTTGTCCAGCACATCTATTGATCCTTCTCCCAAGGTCTGTAATGTCAAATATCAACTTTTTTTTTTTTTCTATGTATAGTCAATATGTTTTGGGGGCTTTCTATTCTTTTGGTCTGTTTGTCTATCCTTGTACCAGTATTATACCATCTTAATTACTACAGTCTCACATACTACCTGGTATGGTTCTTTATCAAGAATGTTTTGTCTATTTTGGGCTTTTACCTATTCTTACAAATTTTAGAATCATGTTGTCAAATTCCATGGAGAGCCCCATTGAGGTACCCTTCCCACTGCCTAATTACTATAGCTTTACAGTAATTCCTGATCTCAAGTTGGACAAATTCTACCGCCTACTTTTCTTCACAGCTGGTTATTTTTGGCCCTTTGCTCTTCCATATTGATTTTAGGATTGACTTATCATGAACCATTAAAAATCAAAACAATTCCTACAGGCATATTGATTGGAATTGCATTGAATATATGAATGATGGGGGTGGGAGGGCTGCCTTTCTTCCCACTCTTCATCATGGTAAAATTCTCCATTTATTTAGGTCTTCTTCAGTGAATATTTTATAATTATCTCCATGAAGATGTTATATTGGGGGTCCCCAAAACCACCCTGCGTTTCAATGATTAGAAGGACTCAGGACTCAGCATTCAGTCATCCTCACAGCTAAGATTTATACCAAAAGGCTATAAAGCAAACTCCGTAAAGGGCAAAGGTACATGGGTCAAAGTTCAGAGGAAATCAGGCACACAAGCTTCTAGGAGTTGTCCCCTAGTGGAATCACACAGGACACACTTTAGACTTCTTCCAACAAGTTGTGACAACATGTGTGAAGCACTGTCCATCAGGGAAGCTCATGAAAGACTTGGTACTCAAGGTGATTCCTAGGGGTTGGTCATATGGGCACCTTCTGCCTACCATGTACCCAAATCCCAGACTCCGAGACATAAAGCAGGTATTCAGGCACCACATCAGCTTTTCGCACCACACAAAAAGTTTAGGTGTGTGAGCCCCTCTTATCATTTGAGGGAAGTTTTTCTTTTTTAATTAACATATATATGTATTACTTGTTTCAGGGGTACAGGTCTGTGATTCATCAGTCTTACACAATTCACTGCACTCACCATAGCACATACCCTCCCCAGTGTATATCACCCAGCCACCTCATCTCTCCCACCCCCCTCCACTCCAGCAGGAAGTTTTATATCAATATAGGGAACCCACCAATTTCTCAGATGCCAGCCAGGGACCAACCTTACAAGCAGGCCTTTCTAAGAATAGCAGTTTTCGGTCTGTTACACTCTTTCCTGCAGAGATCCATCCCGAGGTTTAACTGTGGATGGAATCCTTTTTTTCTATCGTATTTTCTATTTGACTATTTCTGGTAAGTAGAAATACATTAATTTATTATTATTATTATTATTTTCAGTAGCATGCTTTG